TTACAAATGATAAAAGCCCTTTATACTTTTTGTAAAAAAAAAAAAGAAATCAAACCGTTTTTCCCAAATGGCATCACGGTCATGCTCTCCCACCAGCAGAGACGGGCGAGCTGGGCCCCTCTGTCCACGGCCACCGGCCGCCAGCACTTGGCAACTTGGTTCTTCTTTTTTTCTTTCTTTTCTTTTTTTTTTTTTTAAATATATTTTATTGATTTTTCACAGAGAGGAAGGGAGAGAGAAACATCGATCAGCTGCCTCCTGCACACCTCCTACTGGGATGTGCCGCAACCCAGGTACATGCCCTTGACCGGAATTGAACCTGGGACCCTTGAGTCCACAGGCCGACGTTCTATCCACGGAGCCACACCGGTTTGGGCGACTTGGTGCTTCTTGTCCGTTGTTGCCTGAGTTACTGATGGTGTCTCCTCTCCCCCCTCCACCCCCCAGGTGATCCGCACCGACACCTTCAAGCACCTCCGCCACCTGGAGATCCTGCAGCTGAGCAAGAACCTGGTACGCAAGATCGAGGTGGGCGCCTTCAACGGGCTGCCCAGCCTGAACACGCTGGAGCTGTTCGACAACCGGCTGACCACGGTGCCCACGCAGGCCTTCGAGTACCTGTCCAAGCTGCGGGAGCTGTGGCTGCGTAACAACCCCATCGAGAGCATCCCGTCCTACGCCTTCAACCGCGTGCCCTCGCTGCGGCGCCTGGACCTGGGCGAGCTCAAGCGGCTGGAGTACATCTCGGAGGCGGCCTTCGAGGGCCTGGTCAACCTGCGCTACCTCAACCTGGGCATGTGCAACCTCAAGGACATCCCCAACCTGACGGCCCTGGTGCGGTTGGAGGAGCTGGAGCTGTCGGGCAACCGGCTGGACCTCATCCGCCCGGGCTCCTTCCAGGGCCTCACCAGCCTGCGCAAGCTGTGGCTCATGCACGCCCAGGTGGCCACCATCGAGCGCAACGCCTTCGACGACCTCAAGTCGCTGGAGGAGCTCAACCTGTCCCACAACAACCTGATGTCGCTGCCCCACGACCTCTTCACGCCCCTGCACCGCCTCGAGCGCGTGCACCTCAACCACAACCCCTGGCACTGCAACTGCGACGTGCTCTGGCTCAGCTGGTGGCTCAAGGAGACGGTGCCCAGCAACACCACCTGCTGCGCGCGCTGCCACGCGCCCGCCGGCCTCAAGGGGCGCTACATCGGCGAGCTGGACCAGTCGCACTTCACCTGCTACGCGCCCGTCATCGTGGAGCCGCCCACGGACCTCAACGTGACCGAGGGCATGGCCGCCGAGCTCAAGTGCCGCACGGGCACCTCCATGACCTCGGTCAACTGGCTGACGCCCAACGGCACCCTCATGACGCACGGCTCCTACCGCGTGCGCATCTCCGTGCTGCACGACGGCACCCTCAACTTCACCAACGTCACGGTGCAGGACACGGGCCAGTACACGTGCATGGTGACGAA